CGACTTGCTTAACGATCGCTCCACCACAACTTCTTTTTTCGAGACATTCGGAACAGAAGGAAGAGGACCGAGAATCCGTTTCTGTAAGCAGTACAGAAAGATTAGCGTCTGAAGAGGTGGGTTCGATGAGCACACATCAGAATAGCCGAGCCTTGCAAGACTTCCCATTGGTGAGTTGCCACCCGAATGTCGAAGAAATTCGTAGAACGTCGAAGTATTCTGTGCATCTCATAGTCATAGTGTGACAAACAATATGGGAGCCTATAAAAACATCCAAGCAATTCGCGCAGTACGGTATCTTCATGCCGCAGTACGGCCTCCCGGACAACGGCTCTTACTGACTTCGGAAACGAGTCCATCACTGGACAAGCTGGTTGACGTCGACTCTCTCTTTCCCGACTAAGGGCTTTCTTCAGTGACTACACCTTAAGATAGCTGAAATGAAGAGTAGCACAAGATTTCTACTCCAAATAACCATATACTGCACGATCAAGGTCCGAAAACAAATTCTCAGCAGCCATGGAAGTTGGAGGGTGGTTTCAGCACCAGTGCTGAACAATTTCGGCTCCGTGGGATTGTGCGATGTACTGCTAATGTCTAAGAAGTACTTTAAAAGCGAGAGTCTTTGGAAGGCAGCAGCTGTTCCTAAAAAGTGGTCCTCAAGTGGAATTCCTTGTCGTTTTTCCTTACTTGCTAGCGAACCCCCTTCAGATTTTTGCCGGTGTCTTATAGTTAAAATGGCGCCAGGTATTTCTTCAGGTGTGCTAGCTTGGTAATGTACGGAAGAGTAGCTTCTTTTTCCACACTATGAGGGTCTCAGTCCAAGCCATTCCATGATGTCGTTCGTACGGTATATTCGGCTGTCGAGCTATATGACGCATATTGCTCTTGGATTTTAGCGGAAGCGCTCTCGGAAGGCGTTCCTGAGTTGATTCTTTATCACGGTGAGTTGTGTACCTGACCGTGTATGAAACTCGATTTTCCAAGTGTTTTGAACTCGTTAGCGATCTTTTTACCGACCGCTTCCAAATTTGAACGGAGAAATAGGCCTTCGTCCAAATGCTGGACTCGTGCATGTCGACTTGAACATGGGGTTACGAACTCAGTCCGTCCATGAAACCTCTTCGAGACCCACAGCGAGAAGAATGTCAAATCGCGATTCTACAAATAGGTGTACTCAAACTTTCGTCGCATCCTGTACTCGCTAACTGGGCAATCAACCAATTGTGGGGGGTGAGGAGAAAGCCGAAGCTCGCCAGGCTTATGCAGCAGCTTACAATGTGTGCCCTTCGAACCCTCTTTTTTTTTGAAGTAAAAGATTTTCTTTCAAAAACAAAGCTGCTCAGCTTTTGCACCCGTCCAATCAGACAGGTGTTTCGCAAAAATTCCTCAATCCTGCGGCTCCAAATTGCTAGACTGGGGGAAATCCAATAAGCGAACTGTGAGAGCAGCTTTTATAAATCCATGAGTCTAGATGATCCGTCTAGAATTGTCGCATCCGCCTTAGGAGCATGAACCACATCGTCCGTATTGCCTGTCGGTTGCGCTCGCACCGTAGTCTGAAGTACGCAAAGTATCATGGCACGACTCTTAACCGATTCTATTCGAGAAACTACTATGATCCTTACTTTACAAAATGAAAACACTGTAATGATATTCGGAAGCAATTGTTTCCCCATGATCATCCTGTCAACCATAAGCTGATCAAGCTGGGGAGAGGCAGAATATTTCAAAGGCAGAATTTCAGGCCGAAAATTTCTTGGCTTGAAATTCTGCCTTTGATTTTCTGTCTTTGAAACCTTTTTTGGAATAAAGAAACTGTAGCGAGATAACTCATCAGAATCAGAGAGGAGGAAGTTTTAGAGAATTGAGAAAAAGTGAAAACCATTCTAACAAAAAATTGCTTCAGAGGTTCCGGAACGTATTTAAATAGTAAAGACTCTCGGTCAACGGGTCATTCGGAAGATTTGACCGCTTCTAGGTCGTACTCCTCAGCAATCCATTTTAAGAGTACTTTTGCAAAGCAATAGTCCTAAAATGGATCCTCAATGTCTAATACAAGTACAACATTCTCGTTTCTGATCCTGCTCAGAAAATAGTGCTCTCAAAACTGATGGGCTGTTTCTCGAGTTGCTCTTTCATGTCACATTCGCAAGGGGTGGCCCTGAACAAATGCCAAACCCATCGACAGAGCCAATCCGGCTATCGATTTTGTTCTACCGCCAATGATCAATATGAGCCTTCAACTAACTACTTTTTTCTCCGTCTTTAGGTGAAGGTAGAACCGTGTTTCACGTTCTCATACTCTGCAATCACCAGTGCAGAACAACAGAACCACAATATTCATAGAAAAAATTTTGTCAAGTTCTACAATAATTCTGTTGCCAACTAAGTTTTAATGTAACGACTAGAATTGTTGTAAGAACGGCTAACAATTGTGTTCAAGTACCATCGGAAACCAGCTGGCAACAGAGTAATATCGCTCTGGTTCAAATAAATATTTATTTTTATCGACATAAGAGCTACTCTGATAAACTGACTCATAGAACTCCTACCTTTCATCGCGACAATTGCTAATTAGATTTCTGTTATGTACGAAAACTCGGTCGAAACTCACGCAAATAATCCATACATTCTTGACTCAAGCGAGGACCGTATTCATTAAAAACTGCCGTAACACCAACGACAGGCCAGAGAACGCTGCTGTGACTAGAGTGACACAAAAGTTTTTGACAGTCTCGTCAACAGCGCCATTCGGAGTCTGGTCCCTATTATAGGGAGTGTGTCTATAGATTAGGGCATAAATCGCCCTCACGTGGTAAGTGGCGCATTTGTACGAAGGATGGAATCGGTCTTGACATTTCCTAGGCTCAAAATTAACCCTAACCAGCAATACGAGCTTCTTACGCCAATTCGAAGAAGAAATGAATGGTAACTGATTGATGTGATCATGGCCACCACCCAAAGAGCTGAACACTGACGGGGACCATTTGAGCATCACTTATATGCTCCCATTTGTAAAAAAATGAATCCGAAACTAAGGCTCC